CATTTTTTTGTTTTGTTTTGTTCCTTCTTACTTGAATGCATGGTGTAACTTGAAGACCGCAAATCTTGCATGGTGTGTTTGATTGTTTTATAAATAAAACTCAATAGTTTATTTTAATTTTATTTAGGAGTCTAGTGATGAAACGGAAATAGAGGAGTCATTCTATAAGTTACCCCTCACACCAACAGAAAGCAGTGATGATGACGAGAGTATGAAAGACTTTATAGTTGATGATGATGATGAAGAGGAATTTACAGAAGATGATGAAAATCTGAACCTGCTGCCAGAGAGAGCACTTGCTCCATTAAAAGGCCACTTAGTGGAGTATTACATACCACACCGTGAGCCTAAAATAAGCTATAAGTTGGTGGAAGTACTTTGCTTGTCATGTAAAGATTTTGTGTTGATCAGAACCTTGTTTTTATATAAATATAAAATAGCATTCCTGTGAAGCGTATGGTAGCTTAAATTCATATTTTCAAAGGTGATAACTTACTATGGGAGTACTGTAGCTTCCACAACTAGTATGCAGTAATTTTATAACTTTTATTTTATCTGGGAGAGTGTGGTTATGGAAAAGATACTTTATTTGCATCTTTTAATTGGTTCATGGTGCAGACACATGATGTCACATGCTTTAACACATGTTAATATGGAGCAGACATTGGTATAAGTTACCTGGTATACAGGGTCATATGTCCTGAGCTCTAGTTAATTTCATCCCCAAATAGGTGTTTGCACCAATTGCCTCCTGTGCCATTTTATGATGAGGCAGTGTAACAGAACTTATGGGTGTGGACAGATGTTGCCTTTTTCGCCATTTAAAGCGCTTTATTGCTGTGGCTTAATAGAAGTGGCCTTACAGCACTTTAAAAATGGGTACAGTGCTTTAAATTATCCCCTGTTAAAAGAGGCATTAAATTTTGAAGCATATTTTACAGCACTTTAGCAACCCACAGCACTTGAAATTACTTCTGTATGCCGGTCACACTTCTGACCAGTGGAGAAGAGTGCAGAGCACACTCTTCCTCCTAGCCTTGAAAGTGCAGGGAGGCTCAGAAGCCCCCGCCAAACACTGCACTTCTGTCATGTTTAAGAGCGCTGTAACTTTATGATGCTATACAGCGCTGTTATTTAGAGAACTTTTTAAAATGTGCATGGAGCACTTCTGTGTACACACCCAGTACGTTGTGGAAAATCTGGTAATCTGTCTGAACTAAACACTGGTGTAACGTACAGCAGTATGCAAACCATTGGAAGCTACCTTAATTTAAATATGAACGTCTTTAATGATGTAAGGGTGCAGTATTTTACCAAATACTGTTTGGTAATACAAATAGTATTTCTGTTGATACACATAATAGAGGCCTAGACTGCTTGTTACCAAAATTTGATGGTATTCATCAAGACTTCATTTTTTGGGTTAGTTGTATTTTGGGTAATTGCTGGTTTTTGAAACTGCCTATGGCCCCTCCTATAGTTTAAGCTGAATATAAGGTATTTTTATCATTGCTTTTTCTATATTGTTGCCATATCCTGTTAAAAAATCCAGAGGTTGAATTGCCTTGGTAGGATGCCACATTTTGACACATACTACAAGACCCTATCTCCCCCCCCGCAGCTCCTGAAAAAAGACATGTGCCTTGTTTTTGCAGGCAGCACATCTAAAAGAGAGCAGTTTTCTGCCCCGCCATTTCCTCTTCCTCTCCCACATGCCCACCACTGAGTCATGACTGACATGGAGTAAGTCCTTTTGGATGTAATGTCCAGGAAGCATGGCTTCCCAGGAGATACTCTGGGTGAGACATCAGGAACTTTCCAGTATGTCAAGATAGCCACAGAGCTAGGCCTGAACTCTTGAAAGGGCAGTAGCAAGACTGTTACTTCTTTATTATAAATAGTTCTTTATATAAATTTTCTATCAATAGTATTGTTTCCACATTACAAGCCCCTTCAAGATGCTCCTTACTGCAAGCTCCAGTTTGCTTGCCATGAGCCAATTCAGTTGCTGCTTCAGGCATAAGCTACAGTGCTCAACCAGTAGCTACTCAAAATTCCTTAATGGCTGTGAGAGAGTTATTACTGGATTTAGCCTCTTCTGCTTGCTGGGTCAGAGAGAATATGGAGCCAATTTGGCCATCATTCGAGCACAGCATGTCCAGGCTTCTACTTCAGGAAAGAAAAATAAACTTCCCCACTTAAGATATGCACCCTAATTTTTTGGGGGGAGAAGAGTGGGGCAGAGGAGGATGTAGTATGCAAGTAAGCACAGTGTGTATATATGACTTGTATGATAGAGGTTTTTAAAATACATTGGGCTAAAATGCACTGTTTCAATTGACATTCCTGTTTCATAACTTTGGGAGGTTCCATTTTCAAACTATTGCTTATGGTTGTACTTTATCAAAGTTCGTAGATGAAAAGTAATATCCGTGGAATTTTTGTCGCCAACGTGCTTTACCTGATTCCGTTTATTTTCCCAGTCTCCCGCTGCGACCATTATGTGCATTTCCAAAGAGTAGTAAAGGCATTTCTCATCAACGCAATTGATGACACATTTTTGTGCTCATTGTATGGTAAGCAACATTAAACAGAATAGTAATTCAAATTGGTATACTCCTAATAAGAATATCTGTGTTTTGAAGAAATGGTCTCCAGGGGTGACTGTATAGGACTGGGACTTAATTCAGATTCCTCTCCCCAGATCTGCCACTTTATTATGGGACTTCCCACTTGGTTTATTTGCCCAAAGAGTAATCTGAGATAAGTGAAAGAGCCTAATTCTTTCAAGTTTGAAAAGCATTTTTGAGAATTGTATATAAGTTGTTCTTTGTATAATTAATGAAAATCCAAATTTTATTGGTTAACAGTAGCAAGTCTGTAATGAAGATAGCCTTCCCTTTTCCAAATCTATACTCTGACTTCCACTACAAAAACTAGTTAACTTCCCAAAACATTGCAAGCCACATGTTATAGTTTATATAGTCTCACTGTTCTGAATATTGCTCCTTGTCATTGTGGGTAAGAATCTGGCATAATTTATTTTGTTAATGATTGCCTGAAAAATGTAGGTTATGATTTTTCTGAGGATTTTGGTTAAACTTAAAAAAAAGAGAGTGAGACTACACAGACACATGTAACAACTATCACTATCAAACAATACACATTATTTAGGATTTGTAAACATCTGCACCATTCTATGGGAATACAAGAATAGCAGAGCAGCTCTGACTCTAACCCTGCTTTGTTCACAGTCAAAACTAGGGTGACTTTGCTACAGAATCATGCAGACTTAACAGATTGTAATACCTGCTGCATGCTGCAAAGCACTAGCTCCCCCTCCCCTGTTAAAATGGCTAAAATGCACTTGTCTGTACGCAGAGTTTTCCAAATGAAGTTTGCTTTCCAAGTCTCTCTTAGATTTGCTTCAAATCAGAAACTTCTTGGCCTAAAAATTGCATGTTTGTTTGCTTGCTCTAGCTGACAAGTCTCTTTGCACTTCTTTGGACCTCGTGGAGAAACTTACATGAAATGCAACTTAAGACTAGGGAAGGGATAAATTTGGAGACCATTAATACTAGATACAAAAGAAAATCAGTGGGATGTTGAGGGTATGTGAGACTAGAAAGGGCCTCATAGGCCATTGAGTCCAGCCCCTATGTTTTTCAGGCAGTCATTAAGCAAGGAATCGCCACATTGTGTCCTCGCCCGTAGTGACAAGGAACAGTATTCAAAACAGTGAAACCATGTGAACTATAACATGCCACAGGTAAAAAGCCAGGGAGATAAGGGCATTGCCAATACCCTGCTATTACAGTGACAGGGTAATTAATAGTTGGTTGTTGGATATTTGGTGCAGTCAAGAAACAAGGACAAAGTGGAAAACATGTATATGCTGATTTAAAATGCTGAATTAGCAGCAGAAATGTATGTTCTTGAAGCCCTTAGTTATTTCTTCTTTTTCTGAGGCCAATACTAGTTTTTTCAGGTTTTCCTAATAGTTTGTGATTAGAGAAGCTGCCAAAACTGGAGCAAGTATAGTAAATATATTCTGCTTCCTAGAACTCTTTATAAAGATATGTAGTCTAGAAAAGTTTCCCTCTTTTAATATAGTTTTATCTCCTACTGCAAGATGCTGTTATTGGCTCCCTAGTGAATGTTTAGTCAAGTTTAGCACTAAATAAAATTCTTCATCTTTCTTTTGTATTCATCATAGCATTCTCTCTACAGAGTTTCAGCAGAATAGATTTTCTGAGGACTTACAAATACATCTGTTAATTAGTTTGAGTTAAAATAATTAAAAATAAGCTAGTTTAGCAGTAGGGGTCAGATTTATTTTTGTCCTTAATAATTGAAGTAATGGACTAACACAGGCTCCTTAAGCATCCAGTACAATTAAATTTATTGAAATTTTGTGCATAAGTTATACTGAGGAAATTAGGTTGCAATTAAAGTAAATTAGGTATAATAGTGGGTTTCTTTATATACAGCAGTAGGTCTCCAGCCTTCCTCAGGTCTGTATTGACACATTTGGTCAGGAAGTGGGGGAGAAACTATTAAAAAAAAATCCATTTCCATGTATTCAGGGACTGCAGATACTAAAATCCAGTAATTGTGATTGCAACACATCACCACAGGGCAAAGTTAAATTTGTCTGGGTGGTTTAAGACCTGTACATTTTAGCAGATTTTAATATTGGATTTTTTTTATTTTTTTTTTCTCAATCTCTAAAATGTTTTGGGGCAATTTATACACTATTCATTGTAGTATTACTAATATATAGCTCCTTATTTTCAGAATGTTTTCATTAGAATTAAGATAAATATTCAGTATAATTCTAGTTCATTAGATGATTGTTTAGAGTTTATCTGGAAAACAGAAATGGAAGGGAGCTAGCAGAGTGCATGTTTTGGTGTTGTGTGATGATGAATTATTTCATGATAAAACAGATTGAATTATCACTATTGGGCAGTCCATTCACATTTACAATCTTTACTATTTCTATTTTGTATATTTAAATATTACATATCACAAATTTTAGTAAGTCCTTACACCAGCTGCACTTGAATGATGTGCCTTTCATTAACTACAGACTTTACTGACACTACTTTTAGTCATTGAAATGACTGTTCTTCAATAAGTAAATAATGACCTATATGCTTTTCAAAGTAAAGATCCATCATTCCTCTGAAGATTCCATAGTTTGTTCATATATTGTATGCGTTTCTTCATCAGTGAATATCTTACAGTGACTCTTTCTTTGAACAGATGGAACAAGACAAAAGAGGTATGCACGAGATATGTTAACTTCCCTTCATTATTTGGACGACCGCTTTATTCAACCTCGTCTTGAAAACCTGACTTCTAGAAGCCGCTGGAAAGAACGATATAAGGTATCTAGCTTTCTGGCTTGGTCATTGAAATGCCTCCAGATTTTAATCAAGTACAGAAATGTATCCATACTCCAGAATGAAAATATAGTATTTTCTTTTCTTTCTATATTTTGGGAGTTGACTTTAGATCTAGTCCTATATGGGTCTAGTCCCTGAACTCATGGGAGTTGAGGGCACTCAGCATCTTGCATATGTGGGCCTCCTTGTGTATTTTCAGGGTCAGCTCTTCAACTATATGTGAAATGTCTTTCAGGAACGAGTGGATAGTTATCCTAACGTCCGTATAATCATGACGTATCCAGTAAATATGTCTTGTCAGGCTTGTGAAATGCATCGGTACTGTAAGTTTGACGTGTTGCTATCAGGAAAGCTGTACAGCAATAAGACTTTGGAAACGGATGACTTCATGTCACATGACAAACAGGTAACAAAAAATCTCCTGAGCAGTTAACTAGTAATTTATGTTGTATTTTAGACTGAATGAAACAAAACAGTACTCCTATCAACATACGTGATATACGTGGGTAGCTTTTTTTGCAGTACCATGCCTCAATATGCTTGAGTTGATACTGAGATGTACTCTACCCTAACTAACATTCACCCTTTAATTCTTAATACTTTCAAGGAAGAAATGTCTGGGGCTAGAGAAAGTAAGTCATGTTTCATGTTTTGAGTGCTTGTGTGGCTGTGGTGTGGGGGGGGGGTGTTTCAAGACATAATGGGGTTTAAAACGTTCAAAAAATAGAATGTTTATAGCC